GTTTTTTTGCCATCCCTAATTTTATCAGATAAATTCATCTTGGGTCTCCAATCTTCTGTAAGTAGTAGTAATGTCCTCAATCTTCTACTTGTGACATTCATAACCTTAAACTTTTTTACAGTGTGGGCACAATATCCGCATGACGAAAAAGGTTTATTTTGATGTTAAATGGTCACGCGACAAGCATATGATCTATATTAATGAAAGGGTAAAAATATTTTAAAATAGAACAACATTTAGACCTTGTTTGATTTAAATAAAAATTAATTTTTTAGTAAATTTTGATAAAAGTGATGAGACATGTAATTAAAAAGTTGTGAGACGATAGAATGTACTTTTCTAGCTAAACCAAACATGGGCTTTTAAGTAAAGGAAATTAATTTTGGATAGTTTTACCTTTTATTTATACATCACGTGTTTGTTGTGTGGACATTTAACGTCTAAATAGATAATTTTTTTGTCTAGTGTCAAAAAGGTTAGGTGTATATGTACAAAGGAAGATGTTTTTGCGTACGTCATGTACACCATGGTCAATACCCTAGAAATACACCAGACCTAGTAAGCTCATACGTGCGGTCTATCTTAGGTCGTCTTTGACTTTCTTCGTAAGCTCATACTCAGTGTCTATCTTAGGTTGTCTTTGATTTTCTATTAGATAATTACTTTTGTCATTTTTAATTATATTATTCCCTAGAGAGAGTGAAACGGAGAGAACTTTTTTTTGGAAGAATACTTTACAATGATGTATATCACTATATGTGCTGACAAAAGGCAGTTCGTTTATTATTTAAACTCTTTTGCAAGCCCTTTTGAGTTGAAAATTTTGATTAAAACTTGTACAATTAAGAGTATATTTATTTCAATTCTAGCTTTTGAATATACTTAATGGTTGTTTGTGATTCTTTGCACTGTCTTTTGCGCCAGCAATTTACAAGAGTTTATTGATCATTCATGATCTTCTACTTCGAGATTTCAAAAGTCATTGTTCTTGATTTCAATGTCCTTATCTGCAATTGCAAAGGATGTATTTTTTGAATCATTTAAACATATGAAACCCTCCAATATGTCTCTTAGTATTTTCATTTGTTGCTCCTGCATCATGTTCCCAACACCAAATGTAAACTTCGATGTCACCTTGAAATCGAATATGTTAGTAAATCTAACATATTTGAAAGTATCCAATATGCATATTTTTGTGATTTTTTACCATTTTCAAATGACTAAATCTTTATCTTCTTTACTACTAATTGAAGTAACTCAATTTAAAATATTTATATAGTTTTGCTTTGATCTCTCGTAGAAAAGCTTCTTAAGAAAACCATCTTCGATTGTTGAAATCAACAATCGGATGTGAAAGATGAAAAAATTTAATAACTTTTTCCAAACTTAAAAAGATCACATGAATATAATATTAACAGAAAAGGTAGACATGACATGGAACCGATAAGTAGTTTATCTAATGAATATTTTCGTTCTAATACTCTGTAGCATCAACCAATCTTCGGTTGCACATCCACATCAAAGCGCGATCCCATCATCATCATGACCTTAAATTCATCGAAACTGATCGAGCCATTTCCATTTCCATTTCCATTTCCATTTCCATCTGCATCCACCCCACTTATCATCTTCTTGCACTTAGACAATGTACATTCCTCTCCAAGGCTCTTCAACACATTCTGCAGTTCCTCAGCCGATATGGAGCCATTATTGTCAATATCGAAAATCGAGAATGCATCCTTAAGAGTCTCGAGCACCTCTTCGGAGTCAATATCCTTGGTGTTTACTTCAATAAATTCTTGTTGGTTGATGAATCTATCCCCATCAGAATCCACCTCCTTGATCATGATCTCAAGCTCTTCATTTGTCGTCTGGTGGTTGAGGCTTCCCATAATCGAACCCAACTCAGGAGCCGAGATCTTTCCATCACCATTAACGTCGAATTTCTTGAAAACTTGCCTGAGCTCCTCCTCGATCCCGGCTCTAGAATTCGAGGAAGATGATCGGGAGTTTATTATAGGGATCAAGTTTGAGGCAGTCATTGGAAGGTGTTTCGCGGGGAAATCGAGCCTCGCTAACAATTAAAAGAAGGTTCAGACAATTGTGTAAGGAACAACAACCTATCGAGATAAAGTCCCAATGAGGGGTGCTTTATTTATGAAAATTACAATTTATAAGAAGCGAAATGCCTCCAAGGGGTACAAGCACACTGAATTCGCAAAGTAATTGAAAGTTAACAAGAAGAACTAAAAGAAATGAAATTACATAATTCTCTGTTTTAGAGTGATTTGATCGGTCCCCGCTTCTATGTTCTCTTTTCTCTTTTATACTCATTTGACAATTTTTCTTGTAGAACCGTTTGAAAATTGCTCATCGCCCTGTAGCTATCTACTTTCTCCATAACGGATGACTTGTCAAAGAATAACCATTTTTAACTGTTGCCATTACTCTAATCATTTAACTGCTTGCAACCGAGATTCTTGGATAGTGGAATGTGGTAAGATTTCCCATTAACTGTTTCAATAAATGTTGCTATAAATAACAACAAGATATTAGACTCGCCCAGATCTTGGGCATTCGTAGACTTGAGCGATGATGGGCCTCCGCTGCACAACTCCATTTTGAGTTTTTACAATACTCGCCCAGATTTTGGCGTCTCGCAGGCTTGAGTGATGACGGGCCTCCGCTATAAAACTCCCTATTGTGTTTTTACATGGTCTCTTTTGGGCTCATCCTTCGAATTTCCTAACTGAGCCTCATTCTTTGGACCATTTAATTGGACCTTATTTTTGTATGTCAAAATATTACCCTCCAATATGGCAAAATTAATATCAATTATTAATCTTATGCCATATTCATCCTTTATATTTTCCCTCGATGCTTGAAATCCAAAAAGGGCGGAAAATCCCAATCATTATTTTGTTTGGCAGTGACCTTCTACATTCCAAAAAGTGCAATATCACACAACTCCTATAAACCAAAGAACACGCCACTTCATCGCGCCATTCCACCCACGTTCTGCGTCACCACGTTTCTCTTTACCTTTAAAGATCACTGTTCATCTTATTGCTTCTCTACTCAGATACTTACATTCCCAGAACCTTAGAGAAGGTTATAATTTGTAGTAAATGGCGACTTTAAAGAGCTCTTCAGACAACTCACTTAGTTTTGAAGACTTCCAAGAGCTTCTCACTAAACCATATATAAATCCAGCTTCCATTTCACCAGCCAATCCTGATCTCCACGAGTTTTTCCTAGGACCATCATTTAATGATGCTGATTCTATTGGGCAAGCAACAGTGGGCCAGTTGTTACCTTGTACTCAAGATCCTCCTTTTCTAAACCCTTTTCCGCTAAAGCCAATCCGCAAAAAAGGTATTCGCACTTGGCCTAAAACTAGTGATGGCAATCGAGCCGAGCGGCTCGTCGGCTCGGTCGCTTGGCTCGTACTGTAGCGATCCACGAGCCACTCGGGCTCGTCAAAAGACGAGCCCGAGCTCGAGCCGCGCGGACCGGTTTGTAGACGAGCCGAGCTCGGCTCCGCCTGTTAAGCGGC